ACCCCAAAACCCCAAAACCCCTTAATGCTAAAAGTTGGGTTATCATGTGAATAGTATTGGAGAATTAATTTTGAAAGTAAGAAACATACTAAATAAATAAATTTCGAATTTCTAAGTTCAAGTAATCAATAGTTATAATTATACACATTTAATATTAAACTTCCTCTAATGATATAACCGCATGCAAAACATTATAGCAAGAAAAATAACTCTCTCTTCTAGCTAGTAGAACTCAATCAATCGGTTGATTTGCTAGTTGATGATGAAATGGAAAAGTAGGATTTGGCTAGCACTACTTAGAGAGTGAAAATTCATCAAATCAATGAAGAATTTCAGAGTCTAGTAGAAAACAAGGTTGATTTTGATATCTCCTAAAGTGAAAATATAGATTTCCAATCTTCTGCGCATTCAAAAAATAACAGCGACTCAGCTCAAATGATAAGAGGGATATAGGATATGGTGTAGTTAAAGAATAAATAGGAGATGAGGAAATCTACAAAAATAACAGACAGTATTCTCAAGTCTGCTAAGAAAGATAAACGGTTCTCAATAGAAGATGAAGAAACTAAAGACATGCTATATAAATTTCTAGAAGTACAATCATAGTCTCTATCAATCAAAGATCATGTATAGAAATTGAAAGATTTCACAAAGTCACAAAAGCTGAAATTCCTTGGCATGCATACTTGGTTTGTTTACTCAGATGTTCTCTACAACTTAGAAATAAAAGAAGATGATGAATTCCTTGGAGAATACCAATTTGGTGCTGATTTAAAAGTGTACTCTGAATTTTACAAAAAAAACCAACCATCTAAATTCAAAGATGAACAAGGTCAAGAACTTATTCAAGATTTCAATATCTATCAATACAGAGATGACGTAGAATAATGGAAATAATACAAATTCTAATTGGTGCTTTATAGCATACCTTTCTTTTAGAAAGTAGGCACATTAAACCTACCTTTGGAAACAGGCCATCCGAACATGATTTTCAGGGTTATTAAGCACAATAAATTTTTAATTCATGACAATAAATCAATTCTAATACTAAACCTTGAAAAAACACTTGGAAAATCAGCGTTCACAACTAAAACCATTCAGCTAGTAACATATCAAGGGCAGAGTGAATTTGACAAATAACTATCTGACAGTACTCAGACTCAATTACTATTGTCATATATTGGAAAGAATGAGTTGCTATTATTTGGATACGACTGTAAATATATATTCAATCTAACTAATGAGATTCTAATTATGCAGCATACAAACATTCAAACAAATGATTTAAGTATGATTTAGTGTGGAAAATTTCTAGTTATAATAACACCATCTTTCAAGATCGAGAAAGTTTTTGACATTGAGAAAAAAGATTTTTTAGATTACCTTGAAGATAAAGATGACTAATCTTAGCTAATATGTAATAGTCCAAACACTATTATTAATAAAGGGTTAATTATCAATAGAAAAGAATTGTATAAAGTTGAAGGAACAATAAAGAAACTTAACATTGAGACATAACTTCATGAGAATTTCTTTAATATTCTCTAAACTTAGCATGCTTAATTTGACTCTTACAACAATCAAATCTATTTCTACATTGACAAAACCACAGCAGAAGGAAAGGATCTATTTAGAGTACATCTATCTGAAAGAGACCATTAGGTTACTCACCCCATAATGGAAGGTTAATATGCCAATAATCCTATTGACATCTATCTTAACTATATTTAAGATGACTATTTGATTTGTTGCTTCATCAACAGTGATGACAATAGTAGCAAATATCTTGAGATTATAAAATTTGATATACAGTATCAACTTAAGGTTTTGGGTTATGAGCAAATAGAAATGAAACAGATCGAAAAGATCCAGAGAAAATTTTTAAGAGAAATCAAAAAGGTTCCAGTTAATTAGCAAAATAAGCATTTATTGGTAAACTATACAAGCACTCCTAAACAAAATTAATCTTATCTGAACTTAAAAGACACCTTTGTAGATAAGTACTATGTAACTAACTGCGACTATATGAAAACAGAAATTGTTGATATTCCTCGAGAGTAGCTAAATCTATAATATATTTAGTAATATGATAAAAGTATCTTCACCTCCTATATTAAATAATGTGAAGATTATCTTTGGGACTTTAATATACCAGAGTCTAATTATTGTTAA